CTGCATCGCAAAGTTGTATGTTTCCAATTACTCCTGATAAACTATAGTTAGAAGTATAGTTCCTGGTTGCTTTCTATTCCCAATTATCCCAATTATTAAAAATACTTTAGCATACCTCAGACTATTGACGGATGGGACTTTGTCAGAGCTTAACAGGAACTTTACAGTACACAGTTATAGGATCAGTTTTTTCCTCCATTTCACGTGCACGTAAGTGCGATTAAAATGGTTGCATCCTTGTTTTCTCTAGCTTGAAATTCTGTATTTAACTGTTCTGTTACTTGCAACCGCTTGTAGTGTATCTGGTTAACTCTTTATGTTCTCATATCGTCTAAAACCAGGTTGAAAAGTGAAGCGATTATGCTACCCACTTCGCCGCCCCGTCATCCCATTATAAGACAATGAAATTGTTTTTTGACCTTGCATGCATATCAGACTGTTGTTGGAGACCCCCAAAACCATAATATGACCTTTTACAATGCATAATAGGGGCTCTTAAAACCATGCCTGATACACACAGAACTAGAATGAACTTGCAATGAATGTGTGCTTGCTTCCATTGCCAGTAATCAATTTCTGCTCCATGTAATAAACATTTCCAATTAAATTTTTAAAATATTTATAAATGTGAAATCTGCAATAAAAAATTAGGCTATGAAATAAAGCTGCGAAAAAAGGAGTATACCAATAATTTGGGCTAAATTAAACAAATGTCCACTGATTAAATGTGATATTAAAAAGCGTTTATTTGCATATCACCAAGTTATTCGAGAAAATTGTACATCACACAAATCATTGCCGATATTCAATGATAGATGTATATTTTGACATATGGATTATTGCAAGTGTTTACGCACTTGTGGGCTCATTAGTACGTTCTCAATCCTTAAATTGGACCGCTTTATATAGATGTCGTTGATTAAGATTGTAATGCGGTTGAGTTGAACAGCTGGAACGGAGCCTGTGCGAAACCCAACCTGTGGAATTTAATTTTGACGCGAGTCAGGTTAACACACTGTTTAAGTTCATAATGAATACTGTCAGATTCCAGCCTGACTGCGGAGGCTCTTTTTAAACAAATACAGCGAGTGGATCGACGGGGCTCAAGGGAACGCAGATGAAAACGAAAACAAACCAAAGCCAAGGAAAGAAGGATTGCCGGTGGCTGTCAAGAGCCCTAAAGCCGTGATATATTTGCAAGTGATAAACCAAGAGAAGGAGAGAGATAAAGGTTGGGTTAAAAATCCAATTTTTGCTCGAGAGGGTTTTTTTTGCGCGTGGACCGTCCAAAATATCCATTCCATCCATGTATTGCTGATTCTCTTTCCAGCAGTGCTCAACAAACGCTCGTTAACCAGCCAAATTAGAAAAGCAAACTCCCGACAGGCTTCTGCACAATCCAGAAAATAATAAACCCACAATGAGGAGCATCTTCTGAGGGCCTCGGAGCATCCTGGACCAGAGACAGATAAGCTAAGACAATAAGACTGGATGGAGCGGCACCGATAGGACTGCGGCCAGCAGAGGATGAGGACCGCTGTCTGCTGCCACAGTCTTTAGCCTTTCTGGAGCCACTAAACACTTTGCATTTTGATTATTCCTCATAAAGTCATTTATGTAGCATTAACTAACAACTGAGTGTCATAATTCTAGACTAATATGCTTTGTATTGCATTGTAGGATTGCAAATAAACTCAAAGTCTGGGAAATGCTATGTAAAATAAATGTTTATTATTAAAAGTGTGCTTTATCCATTATCCAATTTATTCATTTGAATCCATTATTCAAATTTAATCAACGGAACTATAAAAGCATAATGTCACCGATAATAATGTAAAAACAAATTCGCTCTCTTTGTGCAGTACTTAAAGACTATTTGTGTAATTTCAGCATTATGCATAAAATCAACCCAGGCTTGTTTTGAAAACGTACCCCTATATACATTTCTGGTGAGCGCCAAATATGTCCCAGGAGCTATGTTTTTTGCAGCTTTTGTTTTCGCAAATCCACAAGAGGCCGATGTGTACTCTTTTTCAGATCTCAAATTTCTCTCACAAGTGCCATTTACTCCTGCTGTTCTTACGTAAATCTACCACAGATCGTTGTCAACTGACTGAATGACTGACTGGAGCAATTGACTGACCCACCCTCCTACTTCCTTAAACCCAACCAATAGTGTTTTCAAAAGCAGCAATTAACCCACCCACCCACTTTCCTAAAGCCAACCAACAGTTTTAATAAGTAATACAGAAAAAGAAAAGCCCTCGCCTGATTTTTTTACCACGCTTACAGATTTTACCACATACTCATCCTGTTATTTACTTGTTTATTTTATTTTTTAGCTTTTGCCATACCTGCTTTCTAGAACCGTTCTTCACCAAGTCCTCTCACCATCTCAAGTCCACCAACGTTCATGCTTCCGGACAAACTGGTTACAGCAGGAAAGCTGTCCATAGGGAGGTAAGCGGTTAGCTGGTAAGCACAAAAAGGAACGGCATTATACCGCCCCGTAGCATGTGTTTAGAAAGACAAAATGCAGCCATACATACTTCTGGCTACTTTATTTGTGATCTCCATAAATGTATTTAGGCCTATGTTTTCAGAATGAACCTGTTGCACAAAATAATGATGCAGATTTTAAAGCAATTTAACTGTTTGATTTTAATAATTGAACAATTTCAATATTCCTCAAAGTCACTTATGTAGCATTAACTAACAACTGAGTGTAATGATTCTAGACTAATACGCATTGTATTGCATTGTATGATTGCTAATAGACTAGTCTGGTATTGTCTGGTCTGGTAACTGCTATTTATAAAAAACAATGGATTTGCTTTATAAAATCCATTATACAAATTAAATAAGCAGAACTATAAAAGCATGTCGTCACAGATAATAATGTAAAAACAAATTCATTCTCTTTGTACTGAAAGGCTGTTTGTCTAATTTTGGCATTATGCATAAAATTAACCCAGGCTCATTCCTGGAGAGCGCCAAATATGTCCCTGGAGCTACGTTTTTATTTTTTATTTAGCAGTTTTTGTTTTTGCAAATCCACCAGAGGCCACTGTGGATGCTTTAAATAAGATGTCAAATTTCTCTTGCGAGTGCCATTCACTCCTTTTGCTCTTGCTTAAATCAACCAGAGGCCGCTGTTGACTGACTGACTGACTAACCGATCAACTGACCCATCCTCCTCCTTCCAGCCAAAAGTTTTTAAAAACATTTCGAAAAAGAAAAGCTTTTCACAACGTTTTCAGATTTTCTGAAAACTCACACTGTTATTTATATTTTTATTTAGTTTTTTGGATTTTGTTTTTGTCTCTTTTGTATTTTGGACTCGAACCCCATCGTCGTGGTCAACTTCTCTCTATGTCTCAAGTTCGCCGATGTACATGGTGAGCTAACTGGACAAACTTATAAGTATGGGAAAGCTGTCCATACGAAGATAAGCGGTCAGCTGGTAAGCTCGAAAAAGGAACGGTGTTTTACTGCCTTGTAGAGTTCGTTTTAAAGACTAAATGCAGCTATAGATACTTATGGCTACTTTTTCGCAATCTCCAGAAATGTGTATAAAGCTACGTTTTCAGAATGAACCAGTTGCATAAAATAATGATGTAAATTTTAACAATTTAATTTTAATAATTGGACAATTTCAATACTCCTCATAAAGTCATTATGGAGCATTAACTAACAACCGAGTTTCTGAATTCTAGACTAATTCTAGGATTCTAGACTAATACACTGTATTGCATTGTAGGATTGCAAATAGAATCACAGTCTGGGAAATGCTATGTAAAAAAAAGTTTATTATTAAAAGTGTGCTTTATAAAATCCATTATTCAAATTAAATAAACAGAACTATAACAGCATAATGTCACTGATAATATAGTTAAAACAAATCCACTCTCTACTTAAATGCTATTTGTGCAATTTCGGCATTATACATAAAACAATAATGCAAATTTTAAAGAAATATAACAATGGGAAATTACACAAATCACCTTTAAATTGAGTAAATCTGATCATTGTTTATTTTGTTGGGTGTTTCTCTCACTCATACACACATTGTACACCGGTTAACTGTAACTTTCACCATAGAAGTTGTAGACTTTCAAAAGCTTGCCATTAAGTCTCAGTTAGACATTTATTTGATTGTTCCGTAAAACCAAAAAGTAAATTCAGTCATATTCTGCACATTTCCACAATAACAGCCCTGTTGTTATGGAATGAGAAATGTTTTTGAGATCCCACTCATATATTGTTTCCTATATAAATTTCATTATGAAAAACACTTTCTGTGAACTGAATGGTAAACATTTAAATGTGCACATTTCAACTTCAGACCACATTACAGATTTCAGAAAATGCATTATGTTAAAATTCAAAGCAAATGATCCACCCTCCACAAGCAAAAAAAAAAAAAAAAAAAAGGTGAAGAGAGGCATTTAGTGAAAATTATTAAAAATAGGTAAACTGTATATGTGTACTTAATTATTCTAAAATAAATAATCTTTTTAAAAAATACACTTATTTATATTGTTTTGATAATTTCTTTCAAATAATTTCAAAGGTAAATAAGCAGCTAGTTTGACTACATTAAATATGGCAGAAGGACTAAACTGATCTCCAACTAAAGACACAGTGGACAGTTCGTCCAAATGCATAGTTCTAAAGATCTCTTTAGCTTTCAGGTGTCTCTTGACCAAATTGAATGTTATTATTTGTTTGAATAGGTATTTTCAGTGGTTATCAGCTGATAGATTTGGGCCAGTAGGGGTCTTCTGAGGCTACTGTCATCATCCATCCACATGGTTAATAAGCTATACTAATAGAGAAGACTCCAGATCTGTTTTTAAATTACTGTGATGTTTGGGTTTAGGGTTGGGTTAGACATTAATAAAATACAAGTAATATGAAATGTAATAAATAATATAAATAATTATTGTTATTTATATATTGTTAATGACTTCCAGCCACAGCCATATGTGATCTATAGCTGATTAACCTTGTGAATGGATGATAACAGACTTCTGAGCCTAGTAGTAGGTGCAGAAGGCCCCTATTGGTCAAAATCCGTCAGCTGATAACCAATCATAACCAATTCAATCGAGTGATACCATTCAAATCGGCTGTCTCTTGTAGGTCCTTTTGTGGTATTGCTGTTTAAATGTCAAAAAATGGCCAATTCCTGATTGGGTAACACAAGAATTAATGTCAACAAAGGTAACATCTGACCTTCTTTTCATCTGCTTTATCAAAATGTAAGGAGTTGCATTGTCACCTTTAAATCTGGAATCTAACTAAGTTCTGGAACCGTAATGGCAGTGTGAACACATTTACATTTGATTTCTACATCTGCTCGAAGTGTTCTGTGCCAAACTTGAGTTGAATGTGGGCGCTTTTGTAACTTTCCACAGTCAGATTGGACCACTCTTTCTTGGAGACAAGAACTGTTATCAAGTTGTTGCTGGTGAGGTCACAGTAAGGTTGTTTCTCCCGACATTCAGGGTCTATCTCATAGTCTACTGTTAGTCATCCCAACCAAATTTCCTGCCTGTCATCTGATAGAACTTCATGTTGAAAGGCTTGTAGAAGTCTCGAAGTCTCTGCACGATCTCCGGGTCAATGTTTGGATGGGTTCGCCCTTTGGTTTTACCCAGGCAATGGGGTTTGCTGCTGCCCTCTGCCTTTTTGAGACAAGGGAAGCCCTTGGTCTGGTTGAAGTAGAAGTGTTTGTCTGTGATGATCCTCTTCAGGCCTAAGAAGTCCTGAACGCGGCCCAGCTCTCCGGCCGGGTCGCTGATCAGCCTCTCTCCACTCACAAACAGGATCTGGCTCATGGGAAAGAACTGCAGCCAGTTGTCCAGGTGTTTGGCGTAGATGCCGATCTGAATGGCGCTCCACGATGTGTCAATCAACCCTGTAGTCCTGTTTTTGAATGTCAGGCTCTCAAAAGTAGGAATGTCAGGCTTCTTAGACAGAGTTTGTGTGTAATCAGAGATGGCTCTTGTGACGGGGTCCCGGACAACCACTATCAGCTTGGTGTCACGGGACATGGCGTAGATCCTGGACGGAGCTTCTCGAGTGACAAAGTAGCTTGGTGTTTTCTCCATGGTGATCTGGCCCTCCAGGGTCTTCGGCATCAGGTCCCTGTACAGAAAGAGAAAGAGAATTATAGGAGCAGGTTTTTGCTACATTCTGGTTCCATGAAGAACAGTTAAAATAAATCACTTATTGAAACCTACCTATTGAACTATTAAAAATATACTTTTATACTGTTTTTAATTCTATCAATGATTCCATGAACTACATTTAACATCTTTAATGGCCTGTTTCCACTGAGTGGTAGGGTATAGTTCAGTTCGGTACGCTTTTATGGCTGTTTCTACTGTCAAAAGGTACCAAAAAGCAAACCGTATCGTACCACTTTTTGGATATTGGTACAAAAGCGCCATTTTTAAATACAAAGCTGAGACATTACAACGTAATAATATAAACATGTAACAATGAGCCATGCTTGACCTGAGCTTGATTTGATTTGATTTATGTATTTTTCGAACAGAAATATCATACATAAAGTATCATTAACAAAAATACATTTTAACATAGTCGAAAATGGAGTGGGATGAAGCACAAGCTTATTATTTTCCCACACCATTAATACACGCATCCTTTGTCTATTACTTAAACTTAGTTCTTCTTTTACAAATCTCTTCTTTTTACATGAGACATATTTTATATGTCTGATTCCATTTGTACCTTTATATTTTGTAACATAGACCCAAAAAATACATAGTACCGCAAAGAGCATTAATTAAAATTGTACCACACCTTTCTCATTTTATTCTTTTTCAATCACTTTCATCATTAATTTATGTTAACAATATATATTTATACAACTTTTTAAATTGATTATTATCCTGACATTGTTTGAGAGTCTGATCTAGACTGTTCCATAATTTCCCACTACAGACAGAAATACACAACCTCCTACAACTTTGTTCTTCTCTCAGATTATATCCCCCTAGTCTTTCTTCAAAAAATTTTCGTATGCATTTCGGATGTAATTTATTCCTAGGTTTCAACATAAATTGTGCTGTTTTAAATTTAACTAAATCATTGAACTTAAGTATCTTCAATTAATTTTTTTTTTTATTTGTATGCTCCAAATACTCCACATGTTCTATCAGTCGAATGACTTTTTCTGCATTGTACATAAGGATCGTTAATTAGATTTATATGTATCCCTCCAAATTTCAACCCAATAACTCATATATGGCAACATAAGCTTGTTAAATACATTGATTTTTTTGTCTAGGAAAAATCTTGCTTTTTACACTATTGCTACAGTTTTGACTGATTTTGATATCTCATTTATTTGCTGTTTTCAACTAATTTGATGATCTAATCCAACACCAAGAAACTTAATTGCATATACTCTTTTATAACGAACTTGTAGCTTAACGAAATTTTTGAGCTCATGATAATAATGTGCATGGGATTATTGATGTGCTTCTGACATTTGATTCTTTAAGAAACTGACAAACGCGTGAGTGACGCAAGAAGAAACAGACGAGAAGCCCAACAAAACAAAGGAGCAAATGTTTCTTTCAGCAACCTAAAACATGAACAAACTACCATGTTTAACTATTATCATCACCTTTTGGACTATTATGAACTTGGAAATGACAGAATTACCCTCTAACAAGATGTTACATGTGCTGGTGAAGAATAAAGAAACAGACTGTAGGCTATATGTTGCTTGTTGTTTCTGAACCCAAATAAGGATAAAGGCCCGTGCACACCGGGACACTATTTGCTCGCAATTTCCATCGACGTTTAACGCCTCATGACTAAATAAAGGGTGGCAATGTGATCGTGCACATCAACAAGCAAAATGGCAGGCCTAAAGGGTGTCAGAAGCTTAAAGTTGTGTAGCGCCATCTAACAACAAGGAGTGATTTTGCATACTCTTCTGCTCGACGCTATAGTGAAAATCGATGCAGGGGTACCAATCTTGGTCCAGGAGGGCGGGTGTACCTGCAGGGTTTAGCTCAACCTTTGCCTCAAGACACCAGCCTTGGTGTTTCAAGTATACCTAAGAGCTTGATTAGCTTGTTCAGGTGTAATTGACGGTTGGAGCTAAAATCTGCAGGACGCCAGCCCTCCAGGAAGTTTGGTGACCCCTGCTTAAATGAATACTGTGTGTAGTTTATCTGTAATTGTACATTGGTACCCTTTTGGCAGTGGAAATGCAAGCCTGATAAAGGTGACTCATACCGACCCGTATAGTACTGTACTGTACCACTCAGTGGAAACGGGCCATTAAATAAATGTTTTCATAGTAACATTTTTAACATCCTTTTAGAACTTTTCCATTACAATATTATTTGGGCAATCTAAAATGGTTCTTGTATGAAATTGCTGCAAACCTCCTTTGAACAGATTTCATATTGCCTTTTTTTTGTTTGTAATTTTACAGCATTTTGTCTGTGTCTAAAGCTTTGTGCTTTTCTTTTTTGTGTGCAGTTGACCTCTGTTAATCTCTGAGAGGATGAATGCTTTTCTCAGAAGCTCTTAGTGCCAATCAAGGCTCCATTAGACCATCAAGCAGTGACCCCAACATCACATGACACCAGATACGTTTGCTATTTTATTAGGTTTCTTCCCAAGTAGAGTTATTGATAAAGCAAATTAATATCCAAAACTTCAAAAAGGCTGAAGCAAAATATGTTGGCTTTTATCTTAGTTCTCCTTTAGGAAAAATAGGCCTTAATTTGTGTCCATTACAAGTCAGCAAGGGCAGTATTTAGCTGGTGATTTTTGTCCTGTGCTTTACGTTCTAGCTCTGTCATATCTTAAAGAGGAAGAATGGAGTGTAATTTGTTTGTCCGCGCCACTCTCACTCTCTCTTCCCACCACTCTCTAGTGCCTTCAGGACACTGACCTGAACCAAAGAGGATAAAAGCAGTGGATTAATGATTTACAGCACTCCACTCCACCATTTAGAGCCTCATAAGCCCCGTTCGCTTCAGATTCAGCCCAAGTGCAGTATGCAGCCTTCAATTATTTATCTCCCTCCACCGGAGGGGTTTAGGCCCTGACAAAATGGCCTCCCTCAACCCCCGATGGTGGTTTATGGGCTGTAATGGCATTAGCGGGCTGGGGGTCAGCAGCTTCAGATAGCCCTTCAGGTCACCATTTTTCATTGCCAATTGTTTTTTCATGTCACATGCCACCACAAATTCATGCCTCCAGATAAAAAAATAAGAGCCCGGTGGCTTTCCAGCATGTGGCAGTGAGTGTTTATGTGCAGTGCAGCTGGTCTGTTTCGCTCAACTGAACACCACAGGTTGCTGATTGAGTCCGTTTTTGCAGCACTCCCACAGATGGAAGAAGATTCTAGAGCATGAATTAAGGTGGTGATGTAACACGAGGCAAACCTTTTTGCATATTAATTGCTTGTTTTTCTATTTTAGCTGGTGTTTTAAGTGACTTTGCTCATGCTTATCAGAGAGCCAGCCTCCCAAAAGTTATCTGGTGTAAAGTGTTTTGATTATCACAACTGTTGAAAGATTCAATCTAGTGAGGTTCTAACTTGCAACAATTATCAGCCAGGAAAACTAAAATCCCAGGTACAACTGTGGCTGTTGATGTGAATACCACGCTAGTCTCAGAGAGAAAAGGGAAAGACATGATAGAACCAGGCCTGGGAGATTTTATGTTGTTCTGTTTATGCTGTAGGTCAGGGATGTTCAGCTCTGTTCCTGGAGATCTACCTTCCTACAGAGTTCAGCAGCAACCTTGATCAAACGCATCTTTAATGACCAAGTGCTCTACTTTGTTGGTTTAAGACGCGGTCACACTGCCTAGACTTCAATTTCTACTCATGCAAATGCGGCAAATGGGAAACGTGAGCTCGTGTGACAAGTTTTCCATGTCGCTGCATAGGAAAGTTCAAGCTTGGCGAACTCTGACCTGCATAATTGCTTGTGAAGCTCTGCACAAGACTTTTGGCCAGCGGAGAAATTAAAATGGTTGTGCCCAACTGAGTCTGGTTCTCTCAAGGGTTTTTTTTCTTCACTCCCATCAGGTGAAGTTTTTTTCCCCTCTCCGCTGTCGCCTCTGCCTCGCATGGTTCAGGATTTGTAGAGCTACGCATCGATGAATTTGCTCTTCAGTGTTTGAACTCTCAGTAATGATTAAATCACACTGAACTGAGCTAAACTGAACTGAACTGAACTTAAACACTAAAACCTGAACCACACTGTTCCAGTTACTGACCATTTATGTGAAGCTGCTTTGACACAATCTACATTGTAAAAGCGCTATACAAATAAAGCTGAATTGAATTGAATTGAATAATTGCATCAGGTGATTGCAGGAGACCATAGAAGATCAAAGCATGACCTGTCTGTACAGAAATGTACAATTTAAAGCAATCGCTCGCTTTTTGACCTCTAATCATCTTGTTTAATTCCACCCCTTTTCACAGCATCATACAACAGAATTTCGCAAACTCTTAACTCTAGCATGACCACGACTTTAGTTGTGTTTGATCTGGGTTGGAGTTAACTCTGCAGGAAGGTATCTTCAAATAATATCTTCTTTGATCAAATAAAAATGTAATGTCGGCGCCAACAGCCTAGTGGTTAGTGCATCGACACATAGCACCCAAGTCCTCGCAGCGACCCGAGTTCGATTCCTGGCTCGAGGTCCTTTGCCGATCATTCGCTGCATCTCTGCTCCCCACACATTCCTGTCTGTCAGTCTCCACTGTCCTATCAATAAACTTAAAAACCTTAAAAAATAAAATTAAATAAAAATGTATTGGTTTACTATTTTTCGTTTACTTCTTCTCTATACCTTGAATTACATTATATTGGTGCTAAAACCAAGGATGGAGGGACATTTTGTTGGCAAACTCTCGCTGATTAGGAATATTTTTGGTGCAGATGTGGAATGATGGAGAAGAGTCTGCCATCATAGATGCTTGAGGCTGCTAGTGCTGAAAGTTTGGATGGATGGACTTGATGCCATTACCTTGAGACCAGAACTTGCTTTGGGAACAAGCAGAAGTGTGCCTATTTACAGAGCTTCACCTCTGCCCACTCCGGTCTTGAGTTCCACTGAGGAGCTCCAGAATGATA